ATTAGTTGTTTTTGATATGATGGTGTGTTGATAAGTTGTTGGATAAGTTGAGCTTCATATGATAAAAGAATTATTTGTAGTTTTATTGAATAGTTTCAGATTAGATTATATAAATTTAATTTCTTGGTTTTAATAATATAAAATTTTTAAACAGATCTAGCCATCAGTTTTTTTTAAATAAATTTCATTTATATTATAAAATTTTTATAAATTTTTTTTTAAAACCCACCTGGTTATTAAAACATAAAATTTTTTTTACAAGTTTTTGAATTCTGATCTAACCAAATATATAAATCAATTAATTTTATATAGCCTTATAGTAACTTTTTTTTTTTAATTCAAACTTATGTTCAAATATGTTCATTAACTATATTAAAGTTACTTGCCAATGGCTTAAGAATTCTTCAAAGAACATTATAATTTTCTAATGACTGACTTAAAAAATTTAAAGATAGAAATAGAATTTATCAATATCATTTAGAAGAAGAAGCTGAATATGCTAACAGAATGGCTATTAACAATACTTTACCCTTGTTAAAAAACAAAACTCAAACTACCTCTTAGAAATAATCTATAATATAAATAAAACTAGGCTTTTTTACTAATATAACCCTTTTTTTTACTATATTATCACAAAATAATATCTGATATACTATTCTAAGACATAATTTGTAGAAAGTTAAAATTTAATTTTAATAAATATAAATAATAATTTTATTTTTTAAAAACAATCTTTACCAAAATTAAATTTTAACTTTCTGGAATAATGCTTTAAAATAATACTTAAGGCATTATTTCATGATAATATAGAATAAACATCTGTTATTAACTATTACAACTTATTTTAAAGATTGCAACCAGATAAAACATTGGCAATTTAGCATCTTTTTGAGTATAAAGTAAATAGAAAACATCTTTTGATTGTATTGTATACTAATACTAATAGTTTATATAAATTAGTTTTCTTTGTAATCAGAAAATATACAAAACTACACTGCTTTAAAAATATCAAAATTAACTATTTAGCTGTTAAATATAGGAGTAGTACTAAAGTATAGATAATTACTATCTTATTTTAAGATTGGTTCAAAGAATTTGATTATCAAATTATGTTAACACATTAAGACCAACATGTATTACTTATTCTTAAAAATTGTGCTAGCTACAAATTGAATAATCTTATTTTATAATATACTGACATTACTTTTTTATCTCTAAATATGACTTCCAAAATTCAACTACTTAATGCCAATATTATAATAAGTTTCAAAAGACACCATCATCATCATTATATTTAGTAAGATTCTATAGTATTTTAAATAACTATATAAAAAATTTGTTCATTTTTTATAATTGATCTAAAAGCTAAAATTTTTTTATATATTATAATAGACAGATTTGTTTAAAAGAATTATATACAATTAATTCTCTTTATAATAAGCTAATGTTTTTTATAATAAAAAATTTTAAAAAGTTTTTTATAGAGTAAATTATTGTGTTCTATACTGAATTATATAAAAAATTTTTTTTAAAAAGTTTGTTATTGAATAAGCTTATTATAAAAAGGTTTATTATATCCAAAATTAACTGTATATAAATTTACAAATCAATCTTTCAGGTCACAAACCTGTTTAAAATTTAATATCTAAAAAATAAAAATGTTATTGTTTTTGTTTAAAGTTAACTTTAGTTACAATTTAAAGCTAAAATCAAGCCAAACCAATAGTCTAAAACTATAACTTAAACCAAAATTATATAAAGTTATAAAAAAATAATTGTTGGTTTTAAATTTTTAATTGTAGTCAATAGCTTAAACCATAACTTAGTATAGCTTGGCTATGATTTCTTTAAGCTAAACTAAGCTAAACTATTTAAACTAATAACATCTCTACTAAAAAATAAATAGATAAATAAGTAAATGAATTTTTTTTTTAATAAATAGATATTAGAATATATAGAAAATAGTTAGCACACAGATGAGCTAAAGATGAATATATTGCAAGCTATATGCTATATCATTCAAGGCTAGAAAGAGATCACAATTGAAACAATTCATAATTGTTGATACTATACTGAAATTCTTTCAGCAAATGCCAACACTAATTTACAAAATCTTTTGAATAATATGGGTTCAAAGCTTGACAAGCTTGATAATCTTGCTGATGCACTTAAAGCCCTTCATTCTTATTTTATTTACCCAATGCAAGTTAATGAATTCTTATTTATTCCTAATAAAGATATTGTTTATAAAGTTTCTAATGATAATTAAGTTATTACAGATGTTGTAAACACATTTAGATTAGCTGATTTAGCTACTAAATATTCAGAAGAAATAAAAGATAATGATAATAATAAAATTTCTATAATTGATACTAATATGGCATTAACAAGCTTGAAAACAGTATGCATGTTTCTCCTCTAGCAAAATAATAATACTAATAAATATATTAAAGCTGTTAAAAAAGTTAAAACCTTTATTAAAAAAATTAAATTAAATCAAATATGACAAAGTAAAATCAGTGATTATTTTTTGAAAAAATATTAAAAAAGCTTATTCTAACATTTATCTTATAGATTTGTTTTCAATAATTGTAAAAGCTGGATTTTTTTTTTTATTAATTATATTCTTATATTGTATAGTTTTATCATAATAACATATTTTTTACTAGGCATGCTGTTAAACCAGATATGTATGTATAAATATTTTTTTATATAACTTTAAATAAATATAACTTATTTTATATAGCTTTAGTAGTTAAATTATATTATATCATCTTATTTTCTAAAATAAAGTTTATTATCTTTTAGTAAGCCCAACAATTTTAATATTTCACTTAATGATTAAATAATATAACTATTTAAGTAATATTTTTTATTTACATTAAAACTGTAAATAAACAAACTTTAGCATCTTTAAGCTCATATAAAGAGATACTATAAATGTGTGTATATAAAACCTAATCTAGTATGTTTCATCTTATTAAAAAAATCTTAATTCATAACCATTGATAAATTCTGTATTTTTATTGGTCAAAATTTTATAATAATCATGTGTATGCACTTATAGGATGCATATTATAAGTTCAGGTTCTCAAAAATTTATGCACATGCAAAAGATAAAGGTGTGCACTTAGCACTAAGGCCCAAGCTTAGAACTAAACCAGAGTGTGCATTTAGAAAGAATGTATATATATAAAGAGTGCATTTAGAAAGGTTCAACTGTAATTATTTTATTCAATATTTATTATTGTTGTACTAATAGAATACCTTGAGTTAATTTGATCATTATTAAATAACTTTATTATTATTAAATAATGAAGTTATCATCAAACTAACTTAAGTTATTTGTTAGTTCAATTATTATAACTACTTAAGTAATATTGTTATTAGATGCTATGCAGCCTATAACTTGTTTATCTGTTAACAAATTTAATATGTAAAATTTCTAGGCTTTTTTGAGTTCAGAAGTTGAAATGTTAAAATTTACAGCCAGATAATAAAATATTTTACAAATAGTTCCTATTAATGACTATTTTAAATTATATTATATGCTAAGAATTTAGATAATGTTTATATATTTAAAATTAGTATAAAACTTCAACAAATATCTAATCAATTATTGAAATTATTAGCTTATCTGTTGTTAAAGTTATGACTCACTATTAAAATTATAAATATTTGGACATTTAAAATTTATAACTAAATAAATAAGAACAACATATAACAAGTAACAACAACAAAGCTACCAAAGATTAAAAG